CACTTATATCACTAACAATTTTTCATATCATTCTTATCTTCGAACTTTTCGCTAGTTAACATATTTTTAACAAATAAATAAACTAAAATTTGCGAAAGAAATATTTTTTTCTCATTTCAAAGCATGAAAATAAAATATTTTGATAGAAATCATTTTCAAGGACGAGACGTGCTATTAATGAAATGTTGAAGAAAGAATTCGAATGAAAAAAATTTTAAGAAAATTATTGGTACAATGAGCAAAGAATGAGGAGTTTAACTACAATTAAAATGTGGTGTATAAGATTGTGGTGACGATATAACCACACTTAACTATATGTTAAACTTATTTATGCTTTCCAATTTTACCCTTAAACGGTAGCCTCAAGTATATTATCAATTCCGCCGAAGATGGAAAAACTTGAGGAGTCAAAAGTCGAATTATAAGGTTGTGCACAATTTTGTAAGCGACCCTAAAGATTGAGGACTAAATGTACAATAATTTCAAATAATTATGAGGAAGTTCCAAGAAGACACGTACTTTAAAAAATCATAAAATTATTATTTAAATATATATAGTATAATTTTTTAATTAGTAATACCACTAGTTACATCCTTATAGTTTTAAGTACCTTTGTCATTAAAAAATGTACATCTACTAATTTAGTGTGTAGACTTATTAGAAGTTATTGAAATAATTAAGAAGTCAAGGACCATCTGTGATATAATCCGTCTCGTGACATTTTAGGCTAATTAATGTCTTCAACAAACTTGACAGCCTAGCCTCTTTACAAACGAGTAATGCTATTTATAGTCACTTACTGTAACAATCGTCCTATGTCGCACACACATGTCAAATTTATATTTGATGCATTAATTTTGTAGTTTTTTTTACCACATTAATGCATTAAATACACACTTGACTTGTATGTGTCACATAAAACGACTGCTGCAGTGAGTGACTGCAAATGACATTATTCTTTACAAAATGGGTCATTTCTCCACAAATTCAGATTTACACCCCTACATGAAATATTTGGACATTTAAAATTTTTATTAGTATTTCAAGATCAACTGCTTTTTGATCTTTAGGATTGGGCTCTGAATCGACTATTGAGAAGGAAGGAATATTGGGCGAGGTTTCGACTCTTTTGAAATATATATCTTTGTATACTAATCCCTTGTTTGAGTTCTTTTTTTTTTTAGGAGGAAATGTGTTTTGAAATAATGATTTTTTAAGAATGTACGGTTAAAAAATAAGAGAAAATTTTGAATTTATGTGCAATATTATTTTATGAAAAAACATGTGGTTGAAAATAAGTTCTGAAAAAATGAGTTGTAAAAAAATTGGGGTCAAACACCAGCTAAATATCATTTTAAAAATCTTGATAGATCAATAAGCATTTTATTTTATGTTTTGATCTCAAAATTTGAAAAGAATTTGTCATCCATCAATGAACTAATGTGTCGCGATTGTGATGCTTACTAAATCATCTTTATATACGTATGTGTCAGGTGATTCGAAGTTACAAAAACATAAATAATTTAGTCCATGTTACATAGGTAAGCCATGTTGTGTGATCGGCGGGCATCAATACTAGTGCTCACTTGAGTCGTTTAAAACTTTTAAAATAATTTAGTAGTCTGAGCACTTCATAGTGGCAATTGGGATTTTTAAAATAATATGAATGGAAGATTATTAAATTTCTTAGATTAAGTTGCGACATACGTGAATCTTCTATATTATGTTAATCTCAAAACATTTTGACAACTATTGACTTTGATTTAGATTAAAATTTGGATTTTAATTCAGACCAAACGGGGATACATTTTGCCATCTATCTTTTCATCCGTTATAATAAATTAGTACAAGAAGCTTCAAATCGAGTGATGAGCGAATTAAATTCTTAATTAAAACAATAATTATTATTAGTTGTAACAATAATAATTATATAGTACAAAAGTGAGCTAGGCTGGCCTATGGACAATAATTATCTGGTTACTAATCATCGTAAGAGGAGTGATTGCAAGAAAACTAGTTTTCGTGATACAATTATTTGCACCAACAAAAGGGGTCTTGAATATGTAGAAGAATCCACTTATGATTTTGCGATTAGGGATGAAAGGTCATTCGACGTTAGAGTTAATTGATTATTCTAGTAGTATGTTAAGGCTTAACAACTAAACATATAAAGTCGAGACAAACTTTAAATATATAATATGATCTCAAAATAATGGAGATCAAGACTGGTCAATGAAACGATATCGGATAAACTTTAAGATTAATCGGGAAACACTCCGAACACTTTATGAGTTGTATAACTATAATTTTACATCATAAAAATAAACTTAAATTGGATGCTATAAGAATTAAAAAAAATAAATTAAAATCCTATCTAATGGTCTCATTTTTTTTCTTTTGTTTTACTTGAAATTAAAAGGGAAATTGTACCTTGGTCCCGTTTATCCACAACCTTATTCCTTTTTTTGGTCCTATATGGCGTGGGACACCTATTTGCCCCGTTTATTGTCTAATGTACCGTGTGAGAGATACGGACAACTAATAGTAATGACAGTACGGTTGAAGGGAGGATGAGATTATTTGGATGGGTAAATTAGATTTTTATTTTAAATATAAATATATCTTTTTATGTAGACAACCTTAAACTCGATGGGATGGTGCACCCTACCCTAAACCCGACTTGTCAACTCGATGGGGCGAGGAGTTTCCATTCCATTCGCGTCGGGCGCCAAGGGAATTTGTAAACGTTTTTGTGGAAGTAGGCATCCTCAATGCTATCCTTTACGTATGCAATACCGAATTTTAGTATTTTGATAGAGCAATTCACACAACTGCATAATACCTTTTGTGGGGATGGCAAAATAAATCATCGGCTCGAAATGTCTATGGCTCGAGGCTCAGATCGAGCCCCATTTTGGGGCAAAAGTTCGACCCTAAGCCAGCCCGTGTTACGGGCCGTATCGGTCGAGACAGCCAAGCCCTTTAAAAAAATAAAATAAAATTGAAACGCAGCAGTTGTAGCCTATAGGAAGAAAAAAAATTAAATTTGACACGAAAAAAAAAATCGAGCCTACTCGGCCCGCTGAGGGTCGAGCCTCAATTTTTTTGATTGAACTTTTACTCGACTCGACTCGGGTCAAAAAAAGCTCAAACCTTTTTTGCTTGAGTCCGAGGTTTCGAGTTTCGGCTCATGACTAGACTTGATTTGACTCGACTCGTTGACATGGATAACCTCTTGTGATTTTTTGTAGGCTTGCAAGCGCATATATGTGTAAGTTAATGTACTTTTATTTGTTTAGGAGATGTCAAACTCGGTCGATTTTTAATTTGATTTAAAAATTAAAAAAAAAAAACTTTCGCATAATAATCGAATTAAATCCACTAATGACCACCCACCTTTATACTTAGAGTATGTTTGATTGCATTTATTTTTCCAATGAAAGATTTCAGTTTTTCACCCAAAAGTGTTTGATTACTATTTTTTTCCATGAAAAATATTTTCCAACTTTCAAAAATAAGCCTAATTTTCTTTGTTTTTAAGGAAAGTATTTTCTTTGGGGAAGTATGTTTTTTTTTCCTCAAAATAAGAAAAATATTTTCTTTTCTAGGATATATTTTCCATATCAATCAAACATACTCTTAATGTCATCATAGCCACCTAATTTGATTTTATTTCACAATGACCACCGCACAATAAAATAAAAACTTATCTAAAAAAAAGGTTTTGACAAAAAAAAAACCCTTTTATTTTTGTTTTTTAAAATTTATTTATATATATAATGCAAAATTTTCATTTTATCCCTTTTAAAATTAGTGAAAATTGTGAAAAAAAAAATTGGGAGATTATGGTAAAATAAAATCAAATTGGGTGATCATGGCAAAACATTATATGAAATTTGGTGGTTATGATTAAAAAAATTAAATTGGGTGGATATGGTGACACTAAGTAAAACTTGGGTGGATATGGTGACACTAAGTAAAAATTGGGTGATCATTGATAGATCTAATCCGGTAATTATGATTATTACGATTATTATTTTAAGTTTAACTTTAAAATCCTAAACTTCTGAATTTTGCATTTAGGGGTGGGCAAAACCCAATCGAATCCACCAAAGCTGTCCAACCCGAACCAACCCGATCGGTTTTGGTTGATTTTTTTGTTGTTTTTATACTGGTTGGGTAGGTTAGTTGTGTATGCGGGTCGGGTTGGGTCGGGTTATGAGTTAACTCATGAAAATCGAATAAATCCGCTCAACCCAACCTAAACCACCTACTTAAAAAATAAATAAATAAATAAAATGTCTAAAAAGTAAAATGAACATAAAAAGTATGAGTGGATAGTGTAACTCTAATTAGCTTTGTGCATTTTATAAGAAGAGTTTACTCTCATTCCCACAAGAAATGTAGTATAATTTTTTCATGTTATGTTAAATGCATTTTCTTCTTTGTAGACTTGGCTAATGAGAATTGAATAAAATAATAGATAATTTTATTTATTTATTTATTTATTTACTTACTTATTATTTAATCTTATCTATTCGAATTTAGTATAATAGACAATTGAATGACTTTAATTTTTACTGACAAATTGTCACAAATCGACCAATACAACCCAACCCGATGCTTGATTGGGTTGGGTTGGGTTGTGTTGAGTTAAATTTTGATCAAACCGATCATATTGAATTGAATTTGAATTGAGGCAATATCCGACCCAATCCAATCCATGCCCACCCCTATTCGCATTTACTACTTTTTTTCCACCAAAAACTGATATTAAGACAAACCAGCCTGTATACTGTAATAGTGTATACATTATTTACTGTAGTTAATCCCCACGCCGCAACCCAATCTCTCCTTTCTCGCTTCCCAGTTCCGCAGAAAGGGAGAGGGGAAAAAAAAGAAAAAGAAAAAAGGGAAGAAAATATGTACTTTGCCAAAGATGCATAAACTGATAAGCATTAATAGAGATTTTATTAGTGTCTTCTTCTCAGAAGAGCAAGATGATTTCCTATTCTCAAGAACAAGAATCACTTGTCCAGAATCCAGCTTTTGATGCCCTCTTCTGTGAGGAAGAATGTTTTAATGAAGATTTGCAAGGTGGGTTTGGGTTCAACGATTCAGAAATTGGGGATTTTGATGAAATTTCTAAAAAGCCCTTAGCTTTTCTGTTTGAGCATGATCTGTTTTGGGAAAATGATGAGCTTGTGAGACTCTTGTCCAAGGAAAAAACACATGCCCATTTGAGCTATGATGGAATAAAATCTGATGGGTCACTGAAAATAATGAGGAAAGAAGCTGTTGAGTGGATGGTGAAGGTGATTGCCCACTATGGATTCAATGCCAATACTGCTGTTTTAGCTGTGAATTATTATGATAGGTTTGTTACAAGCTCTTCTTTTCAGAAAGATAAGCCATGGATGAGTCAATTGGCTGCTGTAGCTTGTCTTTCTATAGCTGCCAAGGTGGAGGAAACTCAAGTGCCTCTTCTAATAGACCTTCAAGTATGTTGCTTGATTTACGTTTCTTTATTTTTCTATTTGTACTTTTGCATTTTAAGTGTTTGCGAAAATGCGTTGTGTGGTTCTTTTTATGTTTGAAACTCCACGGTAAAGATTATTGTTATAAACATGTTTTGTGGAGCTCACTGTTAAAACTGTAAGGATTAAGTGCATAATGTTGTTATAAACCTACAATACATTACTTTCATGAGCAACATGGGACTCAGAAGTTGTTATTCCAATATTTTGTTTGGTTAATGATTTAGATTTTGCTTTGGTGTTATCTAGGTGGAAGAGTCCAAATATGTGTTTGAGTCAAAGACTATTCAGAAAATGGAGCTTCTGGTGTTGTCTACTCTCCGGTGGAATATGAATCCTGTGACTCCAATCTCGTTCTGTGATCACATTGCAAGGAGATTTGAATTGATGACTAACCTACACTGCGATTTTTTGACAAGGTGTGAGAGCCTGATTCTCTCTATCATAATCGGTATGTGGATAAGTTATTTTGTTACTACTGTTATGAATTATATATCATTTTAAATGCGTTGGTTTATATATTTGTCAATTTTGTATGCCGAACACAGATCCTAGGCTTGTGCAATATCTTCCATCTGTTATAGCTGGTGCAACAATGATATACATGATTCGGGAAATAGAACCATGTAATGCAATGGAATACCAAAATCAGCTTATGAGTGTGCTAAGAATCAGCAAGGTTAGCTTTTTACTTTTTGAGTCCATACCTGAGTCTAAAGATTTCCAGCTTGTGTTTTAGTTTCTTAAATTCTTGTATGAATTATAACAGGAAAGAATTGATGATTGCGATAAACTAATCCTTGAGGTAATGGAAGATCATGGCCACAGACCTTGCCAAAAGCGCAAACACAATGATATTATAAGCAGTCCAAAAGGCGTCGTCGATGCATATTTTTGCTCTGATAGCTCTAATGATTCGTGGACAGTCGGGTCATCTATTTCATCTTTACCGGAACCTATAATTAAGAGAAGCAGAGCTTGTCTTTAGGTGTGGGTAGCAGCCTTCATGAACTCCCGTTCTTTTCATTATCTGCTATATGTGTTTTACTAATTTAAATTTTGTGACATATTATATCTCATTGTTTCTGGTCAAATCCTTGTGACAGTCGGAAATTTTTTGAACAATTGACTCTATTAACTTTGTGATTCATGAGGGAGATTAAGAATGGAAAGATGGTTTTTGGAGTTATTTTTCTTTTAGTTACATTCACATGACAATTAGTATCAATGAGATATTCATGTTATCTGAAGAATATAATGTATCCTGCATGTTATATCTCAAATAATACTTGTACCTATGGATTGATCACGGGTGGTTAGAGCCATCTTTGCCTTGAGCTTATACTAAATGAGGTTAAGCTAAACCTCATAACATTTTCTGATATCTTGGCTTTGGGATTCGGTATAGCTTGCTTTCCTGGTCTTGGATTAAAGATCTCCTCTCTTAATTCAGTCTATACCAATAGGCTTCGATTTGGGTTCAATCTTATAAGTTTAGCTTGGGTCCACCACTCAATCTCTCATAATCCCCTAAAACCAAGGCT